ATTCTTTTTATGGGTGGCTTTATCCTTCAAATATATAATAATATTATTTAGATATACTATACAGCTCATATCTAGAAGGTCGCTTAGTGCTTAATTTATATATAATTAAAAGGTTGCCAGGGCATTTGTTAGCCTAAATAGTATAATAGTATATTTATAATATCTATATCAGATATAAAAAGCAGTTTTTCACTCATCTCTTTTCTTAATTTGGATATAATAATATATATTCTAGAGATCCAGCTATATGAATATTAATGCTCTAAAGAGCTGACTCAGGGTCTCTCTAATTAATAGTAAAAAATATCAGTTTTTAATTATAATAGTATTTATCTTTTAATAGTTAATATATAGCTATAGGCTACTGTTCTTCTTAGATATAAATAAAATAAATACTTCAGCAGGACTTTTTAATTTATAAATCTAGCCTTTAGCTAGATTCTCTACTAGGTATTTTTAAAGCACTTCTTATTCTTTTAGACTTAGCTAATAAATTAAATAATATAATAGCTCTTTATTAGGCTTTAAATTAATAGTATGATTATGAGTTATATATTTAAATAATACTGCTATCTATTCCTCTAAAAAAATATTAAGATATAATTTTAAGTATATTAATAATTCTAAAATATTAGTAGTTACTAGCTATAAAGGATTCTTAATCTCCTTCTTATCTAGATTAGCTTTTTTTATTATAACTTTTCTTAGGTCTATAATATAAGTAGTCTCTTTATCCTCTATAGCTTAATAGAGTTCTTAGACTATAATCTACTCTATATATAGTTCTAGCATATACTCTATAGATATATTACTTCTGTTTTTTATAGAATCCCACCACTATATGGCCTTATAACTTATATGATAGAATATAAGCTCAGCCTTCTATTCAATAGACTAGCAGTAATATTATTGTCTTATAATATAGTGGATATTAAGATTTATGGTTAAGTGCTATAATAATCCAAGTATAATATCATATTTTTTTATATTAACAATACTATAAGTCTGCTAAATGCTTTCTAGTCTATCTTCTAAATCAGAAGCAATAACATTTAGCAAAGTCTTTCTATACATTAGTATTAAATATCTATTAATTACCTTTATAATTATAGTTAGACCTATTAAAGAACACATATTCTTTTATATCTATTTTTAGTCTATGAAGTTATCTTTAACAGCTTTATTAATTAAGATAAGCGCTTTTATATAATCTTTTAAGGTTTATATATAGATATATATATTAATATATAATCCTTAATTTAATTGTATAGTGTGCAGCCCTAATACTATGATAATATATTAGACCTTATTAGAGAGTTATTTTAAATCTCTCTTAAATCTTTTATTAAAGTTCTTAGAGTAATAGTTCTCCTCTATATATCCTTTTTTACTATAATAAATATATATTAACAACTCCTAGGCCTTTAATCTGTCTCTAGAATCTTTAATTTTAGACTTTTTCTAGAAATAATAATTACTATAATAATTACTTCTTTAATTAGATTTATTACTTTAGTCTAAATTTTAATCTAAAGCTTTATTTTTTAAATCTAAATTTAGCTCTACAGTTTACTTCTAAATAACTTGAAGTTCCTCCTTTTATTCTAATATAGAATCTTCTATTTTTTAAAAATATACTATATAGTTATTATATTCTTTAGATTTATTATCCTATTATATAGCCTTAATATATATAAATTTTATGATTTAACCTTCAAGGTAATATTTCTAATTCTTATTTATATACATTTATTTTAAGAAGTGTTCTAGTCCTTAGATATAAATATTAAATTTAGATATAATTTAGTCTTTTCATTGCTATATTTATTAATATTATTTATTTATATCCTGGCACAATAGTTCTAAAATATGTATAATATCTACTAAGAAGGATTTAAAGTCTCTTTATATTATATAATTAATCTTTATCTTATCCTTTATAAGTGTATCCTATTAGTTAAATACTTTCTAGCTTAATTCTTTGATTATAATTAGTACTTTTCATTAGTTAATACCTTTAAAGTTATAATAATAATTATACTTTATAAAATAATATTTAAGTTAGAGCTTAAAAGATTTTAATTTTTTTATACTAGTACTATTATACTTCTTTTTAAGTACTAGCTTTGGTTATTTTAGAAAAATAACTTCTATAAATACTTATAGTCTTTTTTAACTTAATAGCTTTTTTTTAGTTATTATTTTAATATTAATTACCCCTTATTCTTTTCTTTTCTTCTTTAGATTAAGATGGTTTAAATCTTTTTATATATTAAAGCCCTATATTAGTAAGCTTATTAATAGTAAATATAATAATTATTATTTTAGCTTCTTAAGCTTTTAAAGTATAGTTTAAACTATAATTCTTTAGTACTATATCTCTGTGGCTTTAGCTACTCTAGCTTTAAATTTAATAAGTTTATTTATTATTATTACTAAAAGATCTTTCTTTAAATATTCTATTAATAGCTTTAATAGAATTATAGATATTAGAGTCTTATTCTAAGTTTTTATAATTACTAACTCTATAGCTATAGCCTTAGTATTTATTTTATTAGCTATTATTAAAGATATATTGGCCTTGCTTTCTCTTTTATTATCTAACTTTATCTTTATAATTCTTATTTCTTCTTTCTTTATTAGGATCTCTTTAATATCTAAAAGATATTTAACTAGAAGTGATAATTCCTTAGAGGCTTGTCCTTAGATATATAGAGAGATATATTTTAAAGCTATTCTAAATAATGATTACTAAATCCTTATAAAGTAAGTGATTAAACTATAATAGAGATTATAAGAATATAGCTAGGATTTAGCTTTAGCCTAGAAATAGATTTAAATATATATAATATATATATATATATACTCAGCAGCTAATTGCTGCTTCATAAAGGCCTGAGGCTACCTATAATTATAAGACAGTGTGTGCCAAGCCATTAGTCTAATTAATGGCAGGAAGCTAGGCGAGGTCATGTGCCCGCTGTACTTTGAAGCTATTCCCAACTCCATCCAGGATTCCGCCTTACACTAATCTATATAATATTAGATAGAAACTAGTACTATTAAGAAAAGATATTTAATTAAAGTAGCTAATATTATAACTAGTTATTTATATATACTAATATATAAGACAGTCACTAAATATATAGATTTATAGCTAATATAAAAAAATATATAACTAATATATACTAGAGTATATATTATAAGATATAAGAAAAATATATATAGTATTAAACAAGACTATTAGATATATAATTAAATATATACTCTAAAGTATAAAATAAATATAAAAGATTTTAATTATATAAATATATTTATTTTTATATTTAGTTCTTACTTAGTATAGCTCTTTAATCTAAGTTACTTAATTATATACTAAGAGGGTCAGCAAGATAAATCTATTTAAAATATTATAATACTTTAAAGTGCTTCTTCTATCTTAAGTTGTAATCAACTAAATCTTTATTACTAATAAGTCTGAACTATATTTAATCTTATTAATAAGTTACCCTTATGAATCTTTGTGTGATTCATTCATCATATCATACCTCGACACAACCAGTGACAACTAGGGTGGATCCAGGCGCGTGACAATTGGCTGTGACGTTCTCAATTCTCTGACATAGAGAATAATAATAATTCTTCCATTTTAGAGACCGTTTTTCAGTCATAGACTATGCACGGTCTGCTCTAGCCTGAGTAGGCAAGAGACTAACTATATATAGTAAAATACATGTAAATAGGGAATGTCAATACAGTAGTTCAATGTAAGGCCCCCCTCCAAGGTTAGTTAAAAATAGGGAATAAAAATAGTGAGAGTACAATTTAGGTGTAATATAATAAGAAATATGAATAATGAGCGAATAGATAGAATATTTTTATATATATATATATTATTCTTCTTCTCTTAATAGCCACTTTCTAGTTGAAATCTTTGTTTCTTTTAAATATTCTATTAAAAATGGAATCCCATTTTTAGAATATAAAAAAAATAAATTCCTTTTTTCTTTAGGTCTGACATAGAGAAGTAATAAAACACTTATAAAAAGATTATTATAAATTAGTATAAAATAATAAAAGAATTAATAAAAGAATAAGACTTTTTATAATATTAATTTATTAAATTAAATCTTAAAGAACTCTTCTCTATTATTAAAAATAATAGTAAAAAGACTATTAAATTTCCTTTTATATTTTTAGGTATATATTTAAGTATATATCTAATAATTATTCTTTATCTTATATATAATCTTTCTATACTTCTTAGTGTCTTTCTGAGTGTATATGGTTATATGTATCTTTATATAAGCTATAAGCCTATCCTTCTGTGTGTTAAGTATATGGTAATGACTAGTTGTAGTTTTAGCTGCTATAACATAACGCCTTCCCTGAATAGTACTAGTCTGAGCTAGTGTCATGCAAGTTGGTTTCGTAACATTGCCTCCATCCTCTAGCATCGCGGCTTAGTACATCTTCTAGCGCTAAATATTCACCTAATCAGCATGAGTGACAGGGATCGCAGCTGACGCTCCACCCGGCCCAAGTGAGCTCCGATACCCAGCTGAAAAGACACTGATGCTGGGGCTTACTGTGGAAGTACATCCTGTTTGTGTGCTGTAGGAATGTCTGATATTGTAGCAATTGAAGCTAATGACGAGGATTCATTAAGGCGCCATGTACAGGACCTGAAGTATCTCAGACCCTCTGGGCGAGAAAATTCGTTAGCGCGCCGTAGTGCAGTCCAGTGCAGTCTAGTGCACTCCTAAGCCAATAGGACTGCAGCGGGTTGGCCCGCAGGGAAAAACCAATCAGATTCGCTGCAAGATTCAAGGAGAGGCTAAGGCGTCCGGATGGTAAATAATGGGTGCCGTAGGTTGGGAAAGATTGCTAACCGTTCCTACTTCTGTTCTTACCCCTCTGGTGCCCTCCGCTATAGGCAAATATTCTTTCAATCTCCGAGAAACACTTTATCTATGACATTGACGCCAACGCCGTCAAATATGCCCGCGATATCTGAACACACATCCCTACTACCGTCCGAGCATGATGAGACAGAACCTACCTCTACGGTTAGGGAATCACACGCTCACCTCAGGAAAGTGGCAGATTCCTTCCCTCGCTCTGTCTGGCACATCGCGACCATTGAGTTATGCGAAAGATTTGCTTATTTTGGTATTGTCGGACCAATGCAAAACTACATGCAGAATGCGATGGACGACCCTCTGCACCCTGGCGGACTTGGTGGGTGCTGTTTCTATGGTTGCTAGCGATCAACTAACGTCGGCAGGACTTGGACAAGCTCATGCAACGATTATTAGTCAAGGTTTTATGCTTTGGTGTTTCTTTACCCCAGTCATCGGCGCTGTAGTTGCAGACCAATACCTCGGACGAGTGAAGACGATATTGTTCTCTTCAGTGATCTACAGCTGTGGACTGATAGTTTTGTGTCTATCCTCGCTATCGCTAGCCTATGACATTACTTGGTCGAGACTAGCACTGCTATTTGCCTTGACCTTGATAGGCATCGGTACTGGCGGTATCAAGACGAATGTAAGCTCGCTTATTGCAGAGCAGTATACTGGTCCAAGAGAAACCATTCGAATAACCAAGTTTGGAGAAAAGGTGGTTGTAGACAGAGACCATACTATAAAAAGGTTCGTTTCATGAAAGTGTGTGCTTAAGCCCCCCGAAGCTGAAACCGCAATAGCATTTTCTCCATGTTTTTCATATTCATCAACGTTGGGACTCTTGCTGCTGCTGCCTGCACGACTATCGAGCAAAGATACGGCTTCACCCTAGCATTTGCTCTACCCACCGTGATTTTCATCACCGGATTTACCGTCCTACTAAGAAGCAAAGACGGATACATTAGTCGTGCACCAGAGAGTTCTATTATCCTCCACGCATACCGAGCTTTCTGGATAGCCATTAGACATAGGGGAAACCTCGACTATGCACGTCCAAGTACTGAGGAGTCAGCTCAGCGAATTCCGTGGGACAACGCGTTTGTAGACGATCTGAAACAAATTTCATCGGCGTGTAAGGTATTCCTTCTGTACCCTTTGTATTGGGCCGCCTGTACGCAATTTGTGACGAACTTTGTCTCCCAAGCCGGTACCATGGAGGCTCACGGGATCCCAAACGACATACTTGTTTTTCTCGACCCGGTTACAGCGACTGTCCTCTTGCCTTTCCTTGACCGGGTTGTTTTCCCTTACTTTGAACGGATTAGAAAACCGATTGGCTATGTTCATCGAATGACGGCAGGGTTTTTGTTCTGTGGCGTTGCCATGCTATACGCTGCATTTGTCCAACGGAAGATATATGCGGCACCTCCATGCTATGACCACCCAAGAGCAAGGGACTGTATGGGCGGAGCTATACCTAACGCAGTCTCTATATACCTTCAGGTCCCGGCCTACGTGTTAATTGCCACTTCACAAATACTTGCAACGGTCGCGGGTATTGAATACGCATATACTAAGGCGCCGGCCTCGATGAAATCTCTGGTCATGGCTGTTTATTTGACTACTACTTCTGTGGGAGCCCTCCTCGCCATGGCAGTCTCACCATTAACGGTGGATCCGAAACTGGTCTGGATGTACATTACTTTGAGTTTGGGACCCCTCATAGCTGGTGTTACAGTATGGTTTGTTCCCTTCGCGGGCCCTGATGGTGAAAGAGCGACCACTATGGATCCTGGTGTTGAAAGTCTGCAGTGATGTTCCATTTGGCAGGAGTACTATGTCAATTGATTTGCGAGTCTTACAAGCAATCATGTTGAAAACCTGCCTTTATTTTTAGCTTCCTCCGAACAACAAGAACAAAGTAATAGATCTATGAACAAATGCTTGCTTGACCCAAAGAAGGGTCCTTCCACTTGTCAATAACTCTAAACATGGCTTTAAGATCACTGACGTTAACTTTCCTGGAAGGTCATCAGATGAGGGGAATACAGCCAATTCTCTGCAAAACAGGACGTTTTTCGGCTCTTTTGGAACAGTTGGAATACGTCTGTTACGCTTCAAAATATTGAATCTGGCTTTAGAAATACTGGTTTATGCCCATTCAATCCGGAGATCGTTTTGCAACGTTTTACGAAGAAACCAGAAAACCACAAAGCAGGCCGTCTTCTAGTGAATCCTCAGCTTCAATACTTCAAGTAGAAGATTGGAGACGTATTCGATCGCTTCTAAAGGAAGTATTTGTTGATTTTTATGATCAAAAGGCTCAGAAGCTCAACGGTACGATGACGTCTCTTGCTACTGAGAATAACCTGCTTAAAATGCGTTGCGCTTAAGGGCTGAGAAAGCTGAAACTCCGTCAAAAGATCGAGAAATCCGTCAAAATGAGGCAGCGGAAAGCAACGCCTCAAGGCTGAGAAAAATCTTGCACGTCGCCTTGATTTACAGCTTCCTACGAAGCAAAATCGGCAGGCGGTGAAGTCCTGTACATTATCACCTCCGTTAGGTCGTTCACCAATGCGCTATAATTAGCTTCTTTTCGACTGATACCCCTTTCAAGGCTCCTGCCCTAGAGCCCAAGGCCATTATTGCCCGAGGAGTAAGCTCAACCCAAACACACCCTCTACTATCAAGGGATCTGCAAGTGACGACCTCTATCGAGTTTTAGGAAGAGCTGGGAAGTGTATGAGGCTATTTCTTTCTTCGATCTTTTCTACCGAAGTTACCTAGGTAAAGTTAAATTGACATCAGTGATATAAGTATAGGACACTATAACAGCTTAACTAACAAAAGCATATTTTTATAAAAAGTGTATATAATAATACAACTATCCTTAATAAACGCAGTAGTATGATTGTTCGCCTCAACGAGATGCCTGCATATTCACTCGCCGATACGTCGCTAGCTAGTGCCGGTAGGCAGAAAGGAACGGCGGGCGCGAAGGAACGGCTGGCGCGAAGGAACGGGGGGCGCGGAGGGGAACAGTAGCTATCATTTGGTCATAAAACATTCCCACCTAAGGCTATCGATGTTCTCAAACTCAGAAAATGTGCGAAAGCTACGGCGCGAGTACGACACATCTGATGAGCTCTCTCCCCTTTGGCGTTGCGTCTCTGGAGCATTTCAATCCACATTACGACTCTTGCTGTATCTTGTTGCTATTCTCAAACCTTCGTCCTTGCAAACATTCACCCAGATAGATTGTTGAGACCCTTTGCAAACCGCGGAGCTGTAATAAGCTTTGCTACTATATTTCGAGTAGTGTCTGATTGATTCGATATTCATCGAGATAGCAGAGATTGCCATGAGAACTCCGCTCGCTAATATACGGTAAATCCCATAGCATCATCTTTCAGACAGCACCTGATACATGCTAATATGAGCTTTCAGTGATAAACCATGAAAATGCCTGGAGATATTCCGGATCCCGAAAAGTACGATATTTCTCTCATAACGGGATTCTTGCCCGCCGAATCGCCGCCAGACTCTCTTCCTAGTCCATATTACGCCAAGTGGAATTATGTCGCACAGAATATGCAGGAATTACTTACGACTAAGCGTTTGCGAGTGGTTGTAGAGAACCTGGAGGTCCTAGCCTGCGACCGCTTGGACACAATATCACAGATGAGAACTGCCTACTCCACCCTTGCTTTCATTTCTCATGCATATATATGGGGAGGTGAAACCTCAGCCGAGGTAAATTCCATGTGAACTGCAATGCGCTCAGTGAGTTTAACTCTTGAACCAGGTGGTTCCGCGTTCGATATCGATTCCTTTTCTGTCACTCTGCGAAAAGCTGGAGCTACCACCAGTTGCCACGTACGCGGCGGTGGTTTTGTGGAACTTCAAACCGATCTCTGCCGCAGAGCGACTTGACTGTCTCGAAAATCTCACAGCCCGTATGACTTTTACTGGCGCAATCGATGAAAGCTGGTTCTACATGGTATCTGTAGCATTTGAGGCACGCGGGGGGTTATTGATTGCTATTGTTATGGAGGCGATCCGGTCTATTTATTCCAAAGATGCATTATCTTTGGCAGTACACCTTCGACGACTTGGGGCTGCACTTGAAGGTTTGCCTGCATTACTTCAGCGCATGTATGAAAAGTGTGATCCACAATTCTACTATGATCAGGTTCGCCCTTTCCTCGCTGGAAGCAAAAATGTTTCAAAAGCAGGACTCCCCCGTGGGGTAGTATTTGACGATGGTACGGGAAGAATGCAGCCTGTCCAGTTTGCGGGCGGCTCGAACGCGCAATCGAGTTTAATCCAGTTCCTTGATATTGCTTTAGGTGTCAAACATCAGCCGGAAAGCAGTGGTACAAGAAGAGCAAACAACGAACATGCGTCTCCCTCAGACGTGAGAGGCTTGATAGCTCCCGAACAGGAACCTGTCCCATTGCAGCCGAAAGAAGAACCACAGTTTATTTTGGAAATGCGCCAGTATATGCCAGGGCCTCACCGTCGATTCTTAGATCGTCTGGACTGTGTCACCAATATACGGGATTTTATTAATGCAAACCCAGGAAATAATGACCTTTTTAGCTCTTACAGTGCGTGTCTTGCTGCGCTAGTAAGATTTCGGAATATTCACCTTCAAATGGTGGCCCGCTACATTGTCCTTCCCAGCCGGAAAATTGTGAACCAAGCAAGGCTTGTTTCAATTGCAACCTCACATCACAAAGCTGTTTCTTCAGAACATTGTCTCGATGACAAAATTTCAAGCCGGCTGAACGATATCGAAGCGAACGACGACCTGATAGGCACCGGCGGTACCAACCTTATGCCTTTTCTAAAACATGTTCGCGATGAGACTCAGCAACTCCTTGACCAAGGCAGTATAGACGTGCGTTAGCCAGTAGTCTCATGTCATAGTGTTATCATGTTTTCAGGCTATTTCCCTGTTCTGTATGTAAATTTAATGTCTCATGATCTTATTCCTCGTATTTCCCTTGTAGTGCTGGGTAATTCTACTATATATACCATGGCTACATCCCGGACAAGACTTCAAGTAGTGATCAAAGGAGGGGAGAAACTGCACTAGAAACACTTCAACGTGCCAGAAATTGCGCCCGGGATTGCGCCTTTGGGCATAAAATCCAATATATATTCTTTTACCCTTTCAAGTAAATCTTCTGCCAAAAGTCTTCACACCCCCCTACATCCATACTATCAAGTACCATGACAACTGAGTATGAGCCTACCTAAGTAGCATAGCCCTGGCCACATTATAGCGAGCTGACGTGACAAGTTTGAGTCACAACAGCGGCAAACCTCAGTTTACAGTATCCCTCTGTCATCAGCCATTGGCCCTGGCGAGAATTTTTTTTTATTTTGAATACGAAGACCAACCGCCGCGCGATGAAGATGATAATGCGACTATAGACGATGCTGAAAACGTCAACTGGGCGGGGCCATCGCGTCTCCAATCTTGTCATTGGTCGATATGAGATGACTTGCAGCAAAATAGCTCCAGAGTATCGATCGCATGGGCGAGTACGTTCATCAGAGAGTAAGTGCAAAAGATCTTCTGGCCCAAATTTGTCTGTGACTCACGCTTTACAAAATTAGGTAGCCGAGTGCAGTGAGTTCTTGAAGACTTTGATACAACATACATCTGGCTCCGACTGCGGCGTTTAGGGTATTGGATGAGAAGTTCGGGGCACAAGATGCCTGGAATTGCAGAATACAGGAGCAGATGTAAGCTGCTGTAGAGAGGCATCATAGGATAGCCCACTAAAAATGCAGGTAGCGGCGTTGTAGGCAAAGTTGGATGGCTTTGAGCACAACAACGAAAGATTTTTCGATTGTTGAAGATGGCTGATTCTGCAAATCTCTCCACTGTGCTCCGTGAGCCAACATATCTTTCGCAGGAGTAACTACATGCACTCGAATCAGAAGAGGGCCATCGCTCTGAGAGTCTGAGACTGTAAATTCCTACATTCTCTTTTCGAAATCCCGACCTGTACAGGAATTTGGGAAGCTGGCTCGTCATGAAGCGACGACAATTCTCCCCTTATAGGAGTGTAACTGCTGATATTTCATGTTTCAGGAAGCTAAGTGTAAAGCGGGTCTTCTTCTTTACTGGTAGCTGGTATCTACCATATATCACATATCAGGCTATCGGTTTTACAAGTGTGCAGCATCACATCAACATATACAGGATCTGGAAAGAGAGAGGAGAAGTTTGCGAGGGGGACCACAAGTTCAAAGGGGCGGAAAGTACTCTGTAAACAAGCCTTTGATAAACCTTATCTTCGCTCCTTGACGGAATATTTAGAAACCCATTATCTACGTTGTACACTTAGCGGGAAAATTGATGCAACAGCGTACAAAGCCTGTCCAGTACGTCGCTCAGCATATCAGCCCGGTGTGTTCCTCCCGTCACGGTGATGTGGAGTGACTCGCCCGACGGCTTGGCCATGATCTCTACCTCTCCCGTATCATAGCCTGCCGGAAGCTCACAGAAATCGAGCCGGCTTTGGCTTCCGTTTAAACTTATACTAGGCCGATCGTCGACGGCCAGATAGTGAACAGTGAAGCCAAACCGCGTCATGCGCGGGTCCACCTCGGCATTGCCGAGTCCTGTCGTCTGATATGGCAGACTTCTCGCATATTGTTCCTGCACCACCTGTTGCGCAAGCTTGAAAGATATATCACCCTGATCGAAGGTGACTCTCACAGGCACGAAATTGACACACGGCCCTACGACTTCCTGCAAAGCTTGTTCGAGGACAGAGCGACCAGTGATGAGCCGGCCGAAAACGACGTCCGACGTCGCAGTCACTTCCGCAATCACGCACGCACATGCGGCTGTGAACACCGTGGCGGGTGTCATATCGCTGTGCGTCGCGGAGAAGCCTACCTCCCTGGTGCAAGATGCCTTGGGGATAGCTTCGACCTGTGCAAAGGTCAACGGTCCTTGAGGTGCAGGGATCGTTGTCATCGGCACATCTTGTAAGAGCGACTGCCAGTAACGATCTGAGCTTGCCGTGTCCATCATGTTTCGGTCGATGAAGTCAGTGAATCGCGGCGAGTCGGGTAGCACTTCTCCTTGGAAGGCAGAAGAAAGGTACCGTAGGAGATATTGGAGACTCATGCCGTCGTACTGAGCGTGCGAAAGCCGCAAGACCAATTTTCTCTCGCCTGCTGAAGTGGCGATGATGAAAAACTTTGTGAAGCAAGCGTTAAGTATTACAGGCTCTTTGAAGTCTTCTAAGCACACGAGTCTGGTCAAGATGTTGATATCGCCATCGTGCTCCTCGATGCTGTAGCTGAGCTGTTGCTCTGGCGGCACCTTCTGCAAATATCGATCTTGATCCCGGATGAAGACAGTGCGGAGGATGTCAAATTGATCCCACAATGCTTTGCACACGTCGATAATTTGCGATGTCGGTGTATGAGGAGGAAAGTCCAACGAACAGTAATTCAACCATTGTTTATCTTCCCGTAATGTGGCCTCGATACACCTTGTCTGGAATGAAGTGACCGGCCTTCCGAGCATAGTCTTCGCCTGGTCACCATCAGTGACAGCTTGCGTACTACGAAGATCAAGTGCTGCATCTTCATTGCGCCCGACGATTGCTCTATTGGAGACAGATTTTTCCACGAGTGTTGCCAAGTCACAGAGTCGCGGATGCGTGAAGACATCCTGAATTGTAAAGGGTAGGTCGCTAATGCTTGCTTCTCGAATCAGACGCATTGCGATGATGGAGTCTCCTCCGAGCTGGAAGAAACTGTCCTCTGATCCAATTGAGTCTGGAGCAACGTGTAGGATAGAGGCCCAAATTTCTTGCAATTGTCGTTCTAGCTGAGTGGAAGGCTTCTGCCGCTTCCGTTGCCTTGCACCCAGTGCGATTAATTGCTCAAGTGTCATAGTTTGACCGTATCTCCGCAGCTCTGTCCGGTTACGCTTGCCTGTGACTGTGGCCGGCATAACAGGCATTGGAACGTAAGCGTTAGGTATCATATACAATGGAAGATTTTCTCGAAGTCTCGGCTCAATTCCTGTTGTCATACGCTGCACCGTGGCAATGAGATCCAATTCAGAAATCGTAGTTGCGCCTGAAGGACAGATGAAGGCAACGAGAATAGGATTATTACTTCCGCTTGGACACAGAACGTCGACCACGACTTCCACGTCGCTGTATACGGAGAGGTGCTTGTGGAGATGGTTCTCGATGTCTCCGAGTTCGACTCGCTGACCGCGAATCTTGACTTGAGTATCTCGGCGGCCGATGAATCTCAGATTGCCGTCCCACTCGTAACAGACCAGGTCTCCAGTCTTGTATACCCGTCCGCTGCGACCTTTAAGTCCGTCCTCGCGCTGTAGCAGCCAAGGAGGGTTTTCGATGAACGAACGGGCGGTTTTCGCGGGATCTGAAAGGTAGCCAGAACCGACAATTGGCCCTTCTATCACGAGCTCGCCAACAGCACCGATTGCGCACAGATCTGGGCTGCCATCTGCACGGACGATCCATGTGTTGGCACCGATACCCTTGCCGATCCGAGGCTCACCCACATCCGTTATTTTAAGATCTTGGATTGTGCTCACAGGTGTGCACTCAGCGGGGCCATAAGTATTCAGCATGACCCGACGGTCAGCCCATCGTTTTATATCAGCTTGCGAGACAGGTTCGCCAATCAGAGTCACTGTCTGAAGTCCAGGAACAGCTGCAGGGTCAATATTCCGAGCCACTGTTGGTGTCAAGTGAGCATAATTGGCTCGGAGATCTTGTATCGATTGGGCGATATTTCCTCTTCGATCAGATTCACTAGGGATGCACAAGCACGCTCCTGCTGTAAGCGTCTGTATAAGGTTGGACCATGCAACGTCGAATGCATACGAAACAAAGTCGTAAACCCGGGAAGTGGAAACGATCCCGAGACGATGCTGTTGATGCTGGATCGCGCTGCTGAAGTTCTGATGTGTGACAAGCGCTCCTTTGGGAAGACCCGTGCTGCCGGAAGTAAATACGACGTACAGCAGATCAGAAGGTTGAACGACAGGTAGTGCGCAACCCGAATCCGTAAGCTGAGATAATTGATCCATATCAACAGTCACTACTGTTGCATCGGCAAGTCGGCTAGCTAGCTGCTCATTTGCAGTCGACGATACTATCACCAAAGGTTGAACCTGCCGAATGATCGCTAGTAGCCGCTGCTCAGGTGTAGTTGTATCCAATACAACTGATGCGCCTCCTGCCTTCATGACAGCAACCTGTGCCACTGGAGTCCAGACAGACTTCTCAAAGCAGAGTGGAACGATTGTACCTCGACTCACACCTAGACTGCATAGCCGACGAGCGAGACGAGTGGACAGCCGATCAAGTTCGACATAGGTGATGCTCCCGTTCCAAGCGTTTATAGCCAATTTTGTTGGATCATTTGTTTTGACAGCTTTTTCAATCAAGTCGTGCACACACACAGCGGCTGTTTCGGGCACGCTTGCATTCCACCGCCAAATTTCTTGTCGATCGTGTGGACCTGTGATGCTGATGTCACCTAGCTTGGCGTCGGGCTTTGTTTTGCATAGTAAGCGGATGATGTGCTCGAATTGCCGTTGAATACGTTGCAATTGCACTTCATTAATGATGCTCGTGTCTGCGACAAGACTCAAGGTCAGGTCATCTCTGCCTAGGTCACAGCTAAGTTGAAGTGCATAACTGCTGAACGCGGCGTTGATGTCCTCGGAATTTGCCACCTTCGCCTTCTCGTCACCTAGAGAATGCTGGAAGAGTTCTCTGGTTTTGTTCGTATCGTCTGCCAGAGTCTTTGGTTGAATCAACAACAGCGTCTGGAATTGACAGGCTCTCTCGGTATCGCTGCTGATACGACGAAGGTTTTGTAGACCAATTTGCTCGAATTCCATGGACTCCACGGCTTGTTGCTGGACTCCGCGGAGCAAGTTTTCAAGCGGTTCTTGTTTGTTGAGGACTATGCGGACTGGAATGGTTGCAATCGTGGGGCCAACCATGTGCTCGATGCCCTGGACGCCTTGACGACCCATGACGGTGACGCCAAACAATGCCTCGTCCACCCCAGTGTACTCTGCAGTCAGAATCGACCATGCTGCTCGAACCATTGTTGATGGGGTAATGTCGCCCTTGGGCCAATCTATATTGGAAATTACGCTTGTGATGCTCTTGTCCGCCTGTGGCTCGTATGCTGGAGTGGGCAGTGATGGGAATGAGGGCGCTTCGATCCTCGAAAATAGCTCCTGCCAAAATGATTTACATCGTTTTGTATTGACATCAGCTAGATGTTTCGCAAACATCTGAAACGGTGGCGATGGTCCAAGTGTTTCCGAGCGGTATGCTTTTTCCAATCGATTAATTACAAGAGACCGAGACCAGCCATCGTAGAGAGCATGATGCACTGTCCAAATGAAGAAACGGCGCTTGGTTTGTTTTTCGACGATAAAACTTTGCAAACTCAAGGGCAGGCCAAGTTGCATCGTCATGCTTAGATTTGTCGCTCTGAGGTGGTCGAGACTGTCGCTTTCAGTCCATTGCTCAGGAATCTTGGCGACAACTTGGACAAAACCTTGGCCAGGCAAGTCGATGATGCGGGTTCTCAGGATAGGCGTAGCCTGAAGCACTTCGGTCCACGCTCGACAGAACCGATCCGAGTCAACCGAGGTCTGTAGCTCAAAGGTGTAGCAAGCAGAAAAAGCACCGGGCCGTCTTGCTGTTATCGCTAGTAGGCCTTCTTGCATTGGTGTACATGGAAAGACATCCTCAATATGTTCAGGTTCCATCTTGCAGAGTCGCCCTGCCTGGACCCGAACACTTTGCTCCTCCATGCCACGTGATAACAAGGAGAATGGCAACATCTCGAAATCCTCAGCCACCAACTCGCCGGCAGCTGCAGCCAAATCCTCCAATTTTGGATTTTGAAAGATGTTGGGGACCGTGAGCGATAGACCGTGCTCTCGCGCTGCGGCAGCCAGAGTCATGGCGCTTACCGAATCTCCGCCGACTTGGAAGAAGCTGTCATCAGATCCAATGTTTTCGGCATTAATGTTGAGCACTTGTGACCATAGCTGCTGAATAAGGACCTCTGTTTCGTTGACTGGTTGTCGCTTAACACCTCGCTCAGGATTAAGTGCCGAGAGCTGATCAAGAGTATATTGTTCGCCCATCTTGCGTAAAGATCTCCGGTCAATCTTTCCAGTCGCCGTAGTAGCAACTTGAGCTACTGGGATGTAAAAATTCGGAACCATGTATGCGGGTAGTGAGCTCGTAAGCTGTTGCACCAGGCCAGGGACGACTTGGCCTGCCACTGAACGCAGCTCATCCCGAGACAGATCTTCTTCCGAGTGAATGTGGAGAAAAGCAACAAGTGTTGGGATTTTGCTCTCTGCCGGTATGAGCACGTCTGCGAAGCCAGAAATTTCAGCTTCTTGTGATGCGGCTGATTGTGCATTCCGGGTAAGGCTCGTGCGCATGTGACTCTCGATGTCGTTGAGCTCAACTCGCTGCCCTCGGATCTTGACCTGTGAGTCTTTGCGGCCAACGAGTACTACGTTTCCGTCCGAAGTGTAGCGAGCAAGGTCGCCAGTCTTGTAGACAACGTTTTCGCGAGCATGACGGGGGTATTGTTTTAGCCACGATGGGCTGGGAACAAAGACTTTGGCAGTATTGACTGCGTCTGAAAAGTAACCTGAACTCACAATCGGCCCATCAATGACGAGTTCGCCAACTGCTCCGATGGGAGCAAGGTCGTGGGAAGTGTCTTGTGGTCGAACAATCCACAAGTTGGCACCAAATCCTTTGCCTATCACTAATGGCCCTTCACTTTCGCTTCCCATTTCGGCAAAGCTACTCAGTGGTGTGCACTCAGTAGGTCCGTAGAGATTTAGAACCTTGATCCCGAGTCGTGTCCACTGATCCTTGTCAGATTTGAGCATCGCCTCTCCAACCAGTCCAACGCATTTCATGTCCGGCACCTGGGACGGATTCAGCAGTCGCGCTACTGTAGGTGTAAGATGCACATAGTTTGCCTGCAAAGCTCGCATCGACTCTGCGATTCGGTCCCGACGATCTGTCTCGCTTGGGACACAAAGACAAGCACCGACTGCCAGGGTGAAGAGAAGATGCATCCAGATGCCATCCCAAGCATACGAAACGAATTCGTACCACCGAGAGGCTTCTGTAATGCAGAGCCCTTGTTGCTGATGCTTGATTGCGCTACTAAACTGACCGTGGGAGATTACGACTCCCTTTGGCCGCCCGCTGCTGCCTGACGTGAACGCGATATATAAAGGATCATTAGGCGTTACGGCTGGAAGTAGATAGTTCTCTGGAGGACTTGGCAATTGCGCCACGCAGCGATCATCCAACAAGACTACCCTCTCAGTAGTGAGAAGGCCTGCAAGTACCTCACAATCTGGTGAAGAAACGACAAGCTTGGGATTGACTTGCTCAACAATGGATCGTAACCTATTTTCGGGAAGACTTGAGTCCAAGGTGACGCCAGCACCACCAGCCTTGATTACAGCAGTCATGGCTATTGACATCCATTTTGACTTTTCGAAGAGTATAGGTACCACTACTCCTGGTTTGACTCCGAATGTAACCAAATTGTAAGCTACTTTAGTTGAGAGCATTTCCAATTCGGCATATGTGAAGCTTCCATCCCACGCACAAATGGCTGTTGCAGATGGCTTCCGACGCGACGTCGATTCAAGAAGCTCCAGGACGGACTGCTTCACTGGTGTCCAGGGCTTCGAGTTCCAGCCTCCAATCTCAGCGCGATCACGGGTGCTAACAGTCTCAATATCAGCGACTCTTGATGCGCCTTGCCCTAGTGAGCATAGCTGCCGGAGGATGTGCTCAAACTGGAAAGCCATTCGACGCAGTTGAGTCTGGTCGATTGTCGTAGAGTCGGCAATAAAGTCTGCTTTTATACCGTCATCCATGAGATCGCAGACGACTTGGAGGGCATACGTGTTGAAGGCCGCGTTGACAGTGTCTTCGTTGGTGGCCTCCTTGGTATGCATGGAGTGTTCAAACAGTTGGCGCGATGGGTCGTCCGTAGAAGATGGCCTAGGCTGAACCACCAAGAGCGTTTGGAACTGACATGCCTGTGCAGCATCATCGCTTATTCGTCGAAGGCGCTTGAGGCCAATTTGCTCGAACGGCATCATGTCGATACCTTGTTTTTGAATGTCGCGAAGGAGTTCGTTGATGCTCTGCTCCACAGGGAGCTTTATGCGGATTGGAACACTCGTAATCGTTGGCCCTGTCATGCGATCGATTGATTCAACAGGAGCTTGTCGGCCAATAACTGTAGCACCAAAGAGTACCTCGCTAGCGGCGCTATACTCTCCTATGAGGATGGCCAAGGTTGCACGTAGTATTGTTGAGGCGGTGATGTTGCTTTCCCTGGGCCAGCTTATACCAGTAATGGTATGTGTAAAATGCGTGTCCGCACGCAGCTGATGTGTGGTCGATGCCACTACCGGCCACGATGGTGCTTCCAAGCCTTGGAACATGGTTTCCCAGAAGACATTTGTGGTGAGCTCATCGCGTTCCTGTAGATATGAAACGAAGCCTTGGAAAGGCGGAGACGGTGCAAGAACTTGGCCTTGGTAGGCTTTGGCAAGGTCCTCCATCAAAAGTGGTATCGACCAGCCATCGTAAAGTGCGTGGTGAAGGGTCCAGACAAAATACTTGCGGCCTGACTCTTTCTCTTCCACGAGATCATTTTGTACGAGTGAAGTACCGAGTCCAATGCTTCTTCCTTCTTTGGTCATTTCCATCTCGTCCAAGGTCTGAAAGTAGCTCCAGCGAATAGATTCTTCGATAACAACTTGTACAAGGCCATGGCCAGGAAGCTCAATGATCCTTGTCCTTAGAATTGGATGGTTGTCGTAAACAGATTCCCAGGCCCTCTTGAAACGAGGCAAGTTAGTGGAAGAACGTAACTCTAGGTCGAAGCGTGCAGTATAGTCACCAGCATGCTTTGCAGTCTGTGCTATCAGGGCTTCTTGTAGCGGTGTACAAGGGAACATATCCTGTACTTGCGAGGCCGACACACCGCATAGGATAGCCGCACGCTTCGACAACTCTACAACATCTTCCTCGATGGTGAGTAGCGAGAATGGCTCGATCTTGCGGGTGGAATTTCCTTGCATTACCCTCTTGGCCGAGCTAGCCAAGTCATGCAAGACTGGCTTTGTGAATATATCGGCCACTGTCAATGCCAGCCCTTGCTGCTTCGCGGCAGTGACGAGTCGCATCGCCGAGATTGAATCTCCACCAATTTGTAGAAAGCTGTCATTTGCACTAATCCGACTCGGCTCAATGGTCAGTATAGAGGCCCAAAGTTGCTGGAGTAGGCACTCGACCGCTGTAGTTGGCGGCTGTCGCTTGCGGCCTGCAGAGCTATACGAGTTTAGGTCTTCAAGGGTCATGGAGGCGCCTAAGGCGCGCAGTCGTCGGCGATCTATCTTTCCTGTTGCTGTTTTGGGAATCTCGGATAGAGGAATGAATGCGCTGGGTATCATGTACTTGGGCAGTCGTTTCTCCAGTGCCGCAATCCACGCAGTCCTGTGGTCCTTTATGGCGCCAGCATCGTCGATAGCACGAGAGAAGCTTGCAGTAGTCACAAACGTGACGAGAAGTTTCTTCTCTTGTTTAGCAGGCAATATTATCTCCGATGCGAGCTGTACATCACTGTGTGCGCCAATGACGTGGTACAGATTTTGTTCGACGTCTGCGAGTTCGAAGCGCTGCCCATTGAGCTTGACTTGAGCATCCTTGCGTGCTACAAAACTCAGAGTTCCATCCTCATTGTATTTTAAGAGATCGCCAGTCTTGTACAAATGGCGTTGAAGGTTGTCCGGGCCGCTGTCTGTTCGTACCAGCCAGCTCGGAGCATCTATGAAGACTTTCGAGGATACCTCCTTGTTGTTGATGTAACCTTCTCCAACTAGAGGACCTTCGATCAGAGCCTCGCCTGTCGCACCTACGGCTGTAAGTTTGTTGTGATCGCGAGGATCAACCAGCCATACGTTCACGCCTGCACCACGGCCAAGGCTAGGTGCGAGAGTAGAATTCGGATCGCAAGCTGCTATCGTGATTGGCGGCACACATTCTGCAGGACCATAGACGCTGATAATGTTGTTAACTCGGCCTTTCCACCTCGATACATCTGCGGCAGTGACCGGTTCTCCGCCGACGATTAGATGCTTCAACCCTGGAACATGTTTCGGGTCAATCAATCGAGCAGTTGAGGGGGGAATGGCAATCGAATTGGCCCGGAGCCTCTCGAATGAGCCTGCTAAGTCGTTCATGCGGTCATCCTCGGATGGCACACACAAACAACCTCCAGCCACGAAGGTCCGAAGTACGTCATGCCAAAAGACGTCAAAACTGTGGGAGACGAAGTTGTAGGTTCTTGAAGTAGCCGAGTAGCCCATTTGCTGTCCCTGGTGGCGGATCGCGCTGCTGAAGCCTCTGTGTGTCATCACTGCCCCCTTTGGAGTCCCTGTACTACCAGACGTGAAGACGATATAGATCACATCTGACGGCCTTACTGTAGGCAGGGCATCGAGCTTCAGCGACGATGAAGGCGGCTCCAGGAGAGACGCGTCGACAATCATGACTGGTGCGGATGCAAGTCTACCGGCAAGTTCCATCTGTCTTGCCGAGGCCAAGATGAGTTGAGGGGAGACCTGAGAGACGATAGATTGCAACCGCTGCTCTGGCAAATTGCAGTCCAAAGTAACAGAGGCGCCGCCGGCCTTCATCACACCCAACATGGCGACAGGTGTCCACATCGACTTTTCAAAACACAGAGGTACAACGTTTTTCCCCTGAGCTCCAATACCTCGATCAACCAATTTGTGGGCAAGTCTTGTAGAAAGGCAATCGAGCTCCTCGTACGTCAAATCGCCGTCCCAAGCACACACAGCGGCGGCTTTGGGCTGCCGACAAATCGTACGAGAGATCAACTTGTGCATGCAGCTTAAATCGCTCTCGGGGATGGTCGAGTTCCATTCCCAGATGGATTTCACGTCCTGGGGGCTTAAGAGGTCGAGATTTGTAAGTCGTTTTGCGTCATTCCCCGGCATACACAGCTGAAGAATCGCTTGCTCAAAGGTATAGCAAAATCTCTGGGCCTTGTCCGATGATATGATTTCAGAATCATACCACATATGACAAAGCAGCCCATCCTCGGCCAGTGTGCATTCCATCATCAGTGCGTAGGTATTGAACGTTGCAGCCTCGTTGACTGGCTCCTCAGCAGCCCTCTCTTTGCTAGAAGACTCAAATAGTGCGTCCTCAACATTTTTTTGACTCTTTGGTTGTACAACAAGAAGTGTTTGGAACTGGCATGCTTGTTCAGCGTCAGCTCCAAGCAGTCGTATCCGCTGCAGGCCAAATTGTTCAACGGCAGTCAATTGAATTGCTTGTTGCTGGATGCGTTGCAGAAATTCGGCCACGGTTTCCTCTTGTTTCGAAGTGACGCGGACTGGAACCGTCGCTATTGTCGGCCCAACTACTTCGTCTATCCCAAACATATCAATCTGACGTCCCATGGACACCGATCCAAATAATGCCTCATCAAGGCCTGTATACTGCATTATTGCAACAGAGAGGGCCGCACGCACTGCTGTCGAAGCTGTAATCCCCGTGCGTGGCCACTGTACTCCGGAGACGGCATGTGTCAACATGCTGGTACATTGAGGTTGGGAGGTTGTCGAAGATGTCGACGGGAAGGGTGGTGCATCCAGTCCAGTCAAGTATTCTTTCCACGTTCGTTCTGCAGAAGCTTGCACCGTGTCAATGGTTACTCGCTTGACGAAGTTTTGGAACGGCATGATTGGAGACAGCGATTGGCCTCGATAAAGCTGTTGTGCTCGTCGCATCATGAGATACATGGACCATCCATCGTACAAGGAGTGGTGTATTGTCCAAACAAAGAAGGTCCGCTGGAGATTGTGGTCTCTGATCAATTCATAACGCACGAGGGGCGTCCCAAGACTGACACTGAAGTCCTGCTCCTTTTCGAGATATTCATCCAGATCAGATTCCTTGGTTTCCCAAGTTACTTCTTCATCAAGCACTACCTGCACGAGGCCTTGATCCGCTACATCTATAATGCGTGTCCGCAAAATTGGGGCGGCCACTGCCGTTTGGGACCACGCATTGCGAAACCGTCCAATGTCGATTGAATCTTTCAAGGGCAGCACAAATCGCCGAACGTATACTCCTTCTCGGCGGGTACTCAGCGCCATCAGTCCCTCCTGTAATGGCGTACACGGGAAAGCATCTTGTACGAGATCATGTGGAACACCACAGGCAGCAGCAGCATGGCTACGAATGTGTGCAAAGCTTGTTCCTGGCCGCAAAATTGAGAAGGGGGTAATGTGCTCTAGCGAGTCCGATGATGCCGTCAGAATCTCCGTAGCTAGAGTTGCAAGGCCAGCAAGAGTGGGCTTTTGGAAGATGTCTGAATACTTAATTGACAGTCCCTCACGCCGCGCAGCACCGACTAGCCGCATAGCAAGGAGAGAATCCCCACCAATCCTCAGGAAATTGTCGTCTAGACCCAGCTTTTCAGCGCTGATCTGGAGGGTACTTGCCCATGCCGATTGCAGACGAAGCTCAGCCGCCGTTGTAGGCGCTCTCCGTTCACCTTGCTCGCCAGTGTTTCCGAGTAAGGTGAGCTCTTCCAGTGTCATGGAAGACCCAATTGCATGCAGCTGCCTCCGGTCTGTCTTGCCAGTAGCGCCTATTGGCATGCGTTCTAGAAACACGAATGCTCCAGGGATCATGTACGATGGAACACGCTCCTCCAGTATTTCTGTGGCTTGCGATACACGAGCACCAAGTGCAGGCTTACCGGCGGTGTCATGAGCCACGGATGTGCTAACGAACGCTGTCAAAATTTTATTTTCGCCGCCTTTTGGTAAGATCAATGCGGCAATGACACTGAATTCACCCTTTTCGAAAGCGAGTGCATCCCGAACGTGATGTTCAATTTCAGCAAGTTCTACACGTTGCCCTCGCACCTTCACCTGTGCATCCTTTCTCTTGGTGTATGACAATGAACCGTTTGGATTATAGCGCACCAGGTCGCCAGTCTTGTACAGGCGCCCAGGTCTCCCAGAGTGACCTGGCCCACCACTCAAAAGCCAAGCAGGATTCTCGACGAAGGTAGCTGCTGTTTTCTCATGGTCGCCAAAGTAACCAGCACCCACGAGCGGTCCTTCAAGCCATAATTCGCCCAAAGCACCAATGACTGCCAGCTTGTCGGGATTCTCGGGTTGCGTGACCCAGGTGTTTAGCCCGGTTCCCCAACCAATTACATTTGCCAGCTTGGATGACTCCGAGATGTAATTATATAGGAGACTTTTGGGCGTACACTCGGAAGGCCCATAGGCGTTGACGACCCCCTGCAAATTCCCCCAGCGGATAACATCTTCGGCAAGGACTTCTTCACCACCAAGGTTAATGTGTCGAACCAAGGGCACTTCACTCGGTTCAATCAAACGCGCTATAGATGGAGTAAGATTGAGATATGTCACGCCGTAGCGACGTACTGATGCTGCAATATCGCCACGACGCTCTTCTTCGCTTGGCACACAGAGACAGGCTCCCGTAGTTAATGTGAGTAGTGTAATTGACCATGAGGCATCAAACGCATACGACGCGTAACCAAAGACTCTATCCTTGGGCTGCACGTCGAGAGGTCCGCGTTGGTGGAGAAGTGCAGAACTAAAATTAGAATGAGTGATCATGACGCCTTTTGGGGTACCGGTAGTTCCAGACGTAAAGTTCAGGTAGATCATGTCCGAAGGGACGACAGTAGGCAAACACGTGTTCGACGTACCCATGCGCTGTGAGAAGAAGGCCTCGGGTATAATCACGTTCGTTTGATCGCCTGCCAGTCGTTCTGCCATCGCCATGTGGGCAGCCGACGATAGAAGAATTTTCCCTGAGACAAGACGAGCAATGCGCTGCAAGTGGGCTTCTGGCTGGGTGGTTTCCATGGTCACACAAGCGCCGCCTGCCTTCATTACTCCTAGGATTGAAACGGATGTCCACATGGATTTTTCGAAGCATAGCGGCACTATGGTCCCCCTCTCAACACCCTGGTTGACTAGGTAGTGAGCCAAGTCGGTAGACATTCGGTCTAGCTCTCCATAGGTACACTCGCCATCCCAAGCACAGATAGCTGGGGCATCGGGCTGACTGCGGGCTGTCTGTGATATCAAGTCATGTACGCAGTCGTTGGCCCTCTGAGGGACTGTCTTGTTCCAGGTCCAAATACGCTCCAAGTCGCTCGGAGCTGTCCAATCGCAGTCTGATAGCTGTAAATCAGCATTTCTCGGATCGCAAAGTTTCCGGAGAACATGCTCGAGCTGCCGTTGGAGAGAGGTCGCATCATCGCGCCCGAGTATGCGCGAGTCAAAGGTGAACTTGCAGTCCAGACCGCTTGCTAGCAATTTGAATTGGACCTTTAATGCAACAGTACTAGAGAGTGGCCCGTTTTGGGCATTGTCAGAGGCCGAGACATTCTCTAGAGAATTAGGGTCGAATGGTCCCACTTTTGGATTCAGATACTCTTCCTGTAGATTGACGTCGACAAGAGTCTGAAATTCACAAGCCCTCTCCGCATCGCTGCTGACTTTACGGATTCTTTGCAGCCCGTAATGCTCCACGGGGGCTAGCTCTGCTACTGACTGCTGTAGTCTGCCTACTAATTCCGTGACGGTACTTTTCTTATCAAGCTCTACCTTTAATGGTATAGTTGCCATAGTAGGGCCAGTCATAATCTCGATGCCAGCCAAGTTTGCTTGTCGTCCAAGTGTAGTCACTCCAAAGACTGCTTCATCTTCAGCTGCGTACTGGCCCATAAGGACAGCCCATGCCGCCCAGACCATCGGCATCGTCTGGGTGCCGGCTTTACGGGACCACGGGAGTTCTTTGAACACGCATGACAGGGTTTGATCTGCCTTTGGACGGTAGTTGATATTCGGAAGTGGAGGGTAAATTTGTGCCTCGTTACCATCCAGGTGCTGCTTCCATGTCCTTTCTGCGTAAGAGACATCCATGTCTCTAATATGCTTTATAAAATTTTGGAATGAAGCTGAAGAAGCCGGTTGTTTGCCCATGTGAACATCGTTCACTTTTCTTAAAACCAATTGCAGTGAAGAGAAATCGTAAAGCGCATGGTGGATTGTCCAGACGAAAAAGCGCTGCTTGCGTTTGCTGTCACGGACAAGCGCGAACCGAGTAAGAGGAGTCCCTGTCCCTGTGGTTCGCTGACTGTCATGGTGCAGATATTCATCGAGATCGTCGGCTGTCGTCCATTCGAATGGCTCGTCTATAATGGCCTGTACCAAGCCCTGGCCGGCGAGATCAACTATGCGTGTTCTCAAGATGGGCGTTGTCGCATAGACGTGGCTCCAAGTGGCATGTAGAGCAAAATCATCGACGTCTGGGGGCAGTCGTAGTTTGTATTGTGCGACATTGTAGCCTGGTAGATGCGCACTGGAGGCAAGTAGCGACTCCTGAAGCGGCGTACATGGAAAGGCGTCTTCGATCAGTGAGGCCTGTATACCGCAGGAGAACGCTATTTTCTGGCGTATGTCGGCAATGCTGACGTTCCTGATGTTGTCCAGCAACGAAAATCTATCTAGGCAATAGTGCATTTCGGTCTGTTTTGGTTGTTCCTCTTTTTTCAAGACGCTCGAGACTCTGGTCGTTGGCTGTTTATTCATCGCGACATGAGTAGATTGTGGCGCACTGTGACTATCGTCGAGTCTCATGGTATTCGAGTTTTTCAATCGTTCAAGACGTGTTCAAGGTGGCACAGGGTACAAGGGCCAGGTTGCTGATAGGACTACTTATTCCGTATGCCAATTCTGATGTAGCGCAACGTTATGATGCAGCGATCAGATCCTCCTACATATTTGCGTAGATAAAGACCAAATAGTAGCCGCATCTCCAGACATAGGCCATGATGGCGCTAACCTGATCCATCTCCCAGCGATGTTGCCGCATAATTTGGTGCAAGTGGCTTGTACTACGCTCAGGAAGGCAGTCTGATCGTCTAATCAGTAAATGAGCGTCGTGAGAAAGTAGAGACAAGCTTAGGAGAGGGGAGCAGAGCTAAGCGTTAGCGTTGACTAGGGTAAGTGTAGGCCTAGTAACAATATCTTGCACCAAATTATGCAGTAAGGTCCCTCCTTTGCGCTGGTGGCTCCTTCGCGCCTGCATTGTAAGCCATGGTAGCATGTGGCCCGTACGCTAAAGCTTGCTTCGGTTAAGCTTTCGCACGCCTATCCTTCCCTGAATAGTACTAGTCTGAGCTAGTGTCATGCAAGTTGGTTTCGTAACAGCGGGGGGGGAAGCGACGAGACGGGTAGTTATCGTCTTTGCTGCTATAACATAACACCTTCCCTGAATAGTACTAGCCTGGACTAGTGTCATGCAAGTTGGTTTTCGTAACAAAATTAAGGACTGTTCTGGGCGGTTCTAGATCCCCCTGAACCGAACCTAAACCGAACCAGTGGCAACTCGAGACCTGTCAGATGAGGGGTTCATTTAATCCCGATATTCGGAATAGAAACTCAGACATAAATAGAGCCCAAATCCCGCGGAAATTTGGAAAATTACAACAATAAGAACAACAACAATACAACAAGCTTTTCTTATACTTCTTATCTTTATATTCGCAACTTCTTCTTCTCTGACCAAATAACATGCTAAAACGCAGAGAAAGCCACCACATCCTATGACAGCAGACGGTGCTCAGCACCATAATACTTCATCAAGAGGCATATCCCTCCGAGCTGCGTAATACCAGCTTTGCGACCGGTTGCTTCCATTGCCGCCAGAGGCTCACTAGGGACAGTAGCTACAACGATGGAGTTGGTGGACATCCATGGAGCCGTCGACGACGACAAGTCGCGGCGAGAATCCAAGCCGGTGCAAGAGGCTAGCGTTGCGCATTCAGGAAAAGAGCTTGACTCTGGCAAGGAGACGGCATCTCATCAAAATTCTGGGGAGCCTCCACGTCTCCAAGGCGCCAAGTTGATCCTTCTATTGTCGTGCCTTTTCCTTGGTAACTTCACCATTGGATTTGTACGTATGCTGGTCGTGCAGATAAAATACATTAGGCAAAGCAAAAAGGAGTGTGGACAGTTTTGACGAGACATCTTGTAGGACAGTAGTTGCATTGGCACCCTTATTGTGATTCTCACCGACCAATTCGACGCCCTTCAAGATATTGGCTGGTACCAAACAACATAGTTAGTATTCCAAAAGAGCGTACTCATAAACCTCCTCAGATAGCTAGGCTAATCGTACTTGACAAGCTTGTTTACACTATGTGCGCCTACCTTAATCATGGGCCGACTGTACACTCTCTACTCCATGAAGACGCTTTACGTGTGCTCTTTCGCCATCTTTGTTGTCGGCTCGATTCTTACGGCTGCCTCACCAACGTCTACCGCCTTCATCCTTGGCCGCGCAGTGAGCGGCCTCGGTGCAGCAGGAATAAACTCTGGCATGTTCATGTTAGTAGCAAGCATCATGGAGCAAGTCTGTTGCTCCCACAAGCGAACCCGGTGCTGACGTGTAGCGCAGCATTCTTGCACATGCCGTTCCGCTAAAGATTCAACCCATCATATTCGGCATTTGCGGCGCCGTAGAGTGCTCGGCGCTCGCTTTTGGGCCATTGATCAGCGGGTCAATCGCCCATGCCGACAATTGGAGGATCAACTTCTGGACTATCGTAGGTCTGGGATGCGCTGTTGCATTGGGCGTGTCCGTCAGCGTAGATCATCTGCACCAGAATGCGGACGACAAACCAAGTGCAGCTCAAAGGTTGAAAGGTCTCGACTGGTATGGGCTGGCAATTGAGCTTCCCATGACCATCTGCTTGATCCTGGCTTTGCAATGGGCTGGCACGACGTATGCTTGGTCCAACTGGAGAATCATCCTCCTGCTCACCGTGACCGGTGTTCTTGTCATACTTTTTTTTGTGGTGGAGCACATCGGTGGCAGTAACAGCATGATTTCCTTGCCAATACTACGACAGCGAAATGTCGCCTTTAGCTGTGTGGCTGGCTCCTGTAATTTTGCAGGCTTGTGGGTCTTTTCCAACTACGTACGTTGCATCGAGAATAGTCCAACTCATTACTGCTCGCAAGGTGCTAATGGTTCGCTAGCTCCCCATCTATTTTCAAGTGGTGCGTGGAGCAGATACACTTCATTCAGCTTTGATGTATCTGCCGACCACCATAAGCATGTCCGTTGTCGCATTGGCCAGCGGATCTTTTACATCCAAGATCGGTTATTTCAACCCAGCATTGCTGTTCGGCAGCGTGCTGAGTGTCACTGGAGCAGCATTGATGGCCACATTCAAACCCAATACTTCTGCAGCACGATGGATAGCGTACCAGATCTTCTACGGTATCGGCATTGGCATGGCATTCCAGCCTCCCCTAATTGCCCTGCAAACCGTGCTTGAGAAGCCACTTGTTCCTGCAGCCTTGGTACTGCTGACTTTCGTGCAGATGCTCAGTGGCATCATCTTCCTGTCCATCTCGCAGAATGTGTTCCTGGATAAGCTGACAAGAAATCTTGTGAAAAACATTCCAAATTTCGACCCAGCCATTGCCAGGCAACATGGCTTGTCTGGTCTGGAGGGACTGGTCCCCATCGAATATCAATCACAGGTCATACGAGCCTACAATTCTGCCATCATGGACGTGTTCTATATCGCACTTGGGCTAGTTAGTGTTGGTCTGCTAGCTGCGCTCCCCCTTGAGTGGAGGTCAATCAAGAAGGACGATGAGAAGAAGGAGGATTGAGCTCAAAGCAGATTTGTTGCTCTGCGTATCCAGGAAACCATTCGCAAGGGCAGAGACCCCGAGAAACATGTCGGAGGTTGTTGTAAATATGTCCTTAAATAAGCTCCATCGAATTTATAAAAGTTTTGTTTGGATTTTTCCTGTAGTTATTCAAGCAAAATTCTATCATGATCGTTACCATTACAGGTTCGTCGTGTGGCAAGTGTACTCGGGACTTAGCCTCGCAAGTTTCCTCCCCAAGTACAAGAAGACAGCCAATGCTCGCCCAATGATCTGTTACCCGAAACAGACTCCCACCCTCTTCACACTTGCTGGTTGATTAGCAGGTTTTTGTGACGGCTCTGGCAACCTTACTATATGAGTGAGTAGTAGAGAGGATCCACCATCCTCGATATTCTGGTCTTTTGGCGCAGCGGCTTTAAAAACTTCCCTACTGCTGCCCGTTGAGACAACCGCATCGATGCCATCTAGCAAAGGATAATCCTGCCCCCGAAGAACATCATATGAGGATTCTATGGGCTCGGCCGTGGACATTGATTCAGCTGTGACGGTGTAGCAGGTATACGAATCGCAGTCAGTATAGTGAATAGAACAAATGCGCCGTCAAATAAGCCTTGGTGTACGTATATTTGTATTTATCGAAATTCAGTAGTTAATTTTTAATCCTCATATCCAAGAGCTATACGGATATCTATATCCATCAGACCGGCGAGCATTTCAAGCGTACGAGTAGCACGTCTCGTCCCGGATCTGTTTGAGGAACGGAAGGAGTGCTGTACCCCCTGTTCCCCGCGCTGCAGTGTCACTGTTCTCGTAGCTCAATTCTGCCGTAGCAAGACCTCCATGGCGAGGCTTCGAGTTGATGTGTACTTGACGTGGCTCGCAAGCCCCCTGCCGCCTCACGGCATCTCGATTGCTGTTTGCGCGCTGGATAAGGATGTAGCGATTTACGACCTGCAGATGTGTGTCGCGGAATTTCACCAAAGCAGCGACGCAAGCATTATATGAGTTCAGAAGCTGCTCGTGGTTCTCGGTTCATCTCGACAAAGGGTCGAATATTGGCGACCTTAGCGAAGTGGGTTAGGAAGCGGCGATGAGGGCCAGGTCGACACAAACTTCAGACTTCTCCTCGTGGAACGAATCAGTGTTGCGTTTTCCTGCACTGATCCCGGTGGGGTAATGTGTGACACCCAGCGCGATGTCAATGAATTGAATCAGACTCGACTGGGCATTCGATCCTCCAGCAAATCGAAATGGTTGCATTGGATGTGTTCCGTTATCAAAGTATACGCCGTTAGGGAGTTTTTCATTTCCACTGCTACCGGAGAGAAACAGACATATCTTGTGGTCGAATAAGTGTGGGTCGCAGTTGACACGGCGCATATATCCTGGATGCCCTCGAGAAGACATAAAAGCTGAGCAGTAACCGCACCGACTTCGTTGCTTTGCACACAACGAACTGCATCCAAGATGGCCCCGATTAGTGGACCGCCCCTAGCCTCGATGGCCACCGAGACGAGGTAGAACCAGCTCTCGTCGATCGAACCCGTGAAGGTAATCTGAGTTGCGAGGCTATCAAGGTGATATAGCTGTTCAATGTCTGGTGCAACTGTATGATTCTACAGTACTAATCCAGCATAGGTCGCGACGGGAGGCATTTCCAGTGACTCGCAGATCAACAAGAGCGGGCTCGATACTGATGCTGGGATGACCTAGAGCGTAAGTCAGTCGCTGCGTTTCCATGCGTTCTTCTGCATCTTACATCTGCGGGCTCTTGACCTCCCCAAATGTAAGCATGGCAAATGAAGCCCAGCATCGAGTATGCTTTTTTGCGCTGCGATGTTGTCTCGAGACGCTCGCGGCTCAGGACCAGAAGCCCGTCCACGACGCTTCGTATTCGATTGTCCTTGATCAAACTTTGCAAGTCCCGAGTAACGCGGATCCATGGATGGAAGTACCATGGATGGAAGTATGGGTGCAAATGGGATTCGCAAGACACAATTTCGCGCAGAAACCCGGTTCTAGGCGACACGTCGTACGCCTCAAGTGTAGGTAGACCAATATCAGATGCCATTCTAGCCTGGAGATGCGCTTCTGGATGGGAGTTGGAACAGTCCGTGGGTCTCTTTGACTTTGTTCAAAGGAATATGCCATTGGCATGCCTTAAGTCACAAAACTGCCCGACTCCAACCGTGCCATCGATATTTGGTATACAGGGCTAAGGTTTCCGAATTATGGTAAGAGAGTAATTGGTGCGATTGGGCTTACTACTGTACGTCTACCCAACTAAAGAGATCTTAAGCTGTGGTTGCCTGTTAGCTAGTCATCACCCTAGCTTCACTCTAGCATTTCTCTTACATGCATATGTAACTTACGTATGCAGGTGAGAGTGGAGAAGCGCATAGGAGCAGGAAGCGCGAAGGAGCCATTAGCGCTAACTAGTCGATCCGAACACGGCACAGTGATAGTGTTCTATAGAGGCCCGTCGCTAACATAGATGCAGCAGAACATATAATGAGAACTTAAGAAGGCTTATTCTCGTTATGTCAGCCATTCATAGTTCTATCAACATTGCGCCAACGATAGACAACCTCAACTACTTCTTGAGCGCTGAGATTCGTCGCCCATCATGTCTTCCAGTTCTGAACACTTCCAGACCGCGAGCGACTTGTGGAGAAAAGCCCAGAGTCTTAAAAATGGCAGCAATATAACCATTACGGGGAAAGAGCTTGATATCGCCACCGTCTTTGCAGTCTCACAAGGAGGCCGCCAGCCCTTCCTTACCGAGGACAAAGCCACCTGCGCACGCATTCACGAAAGTGTGGAACAGTTAAACCACTATCTCGAGAAAGGCCGTGCCGTCTATGGTAAGGCATCACTTGCGTTCCGAAACATGAAGTGAATATACTTACAGTCATCAGGAGTCACTACAGGATTCGGTGGAAGTGCAGATTCCAGGACGAAAGAGGTACACAAGCTGCAGATTTCGCTACTCCAACATACGCAAAGCGGAGTCATTCTTGCATCTGACCAAGTTATAAATGATGGAATCGCCGAACATCATTCCGAGCTGACATCGATGCCAATGTCCTGGGTCAGAGCGGCGATGTTGGTGAGATGCAACGCAACTGCTCGGGGCCATTCTGCAGTGACCATGGGCGTCCTACAGGCCATCTTGAGACTGCTTCGACATGACATCATTCCAATGGTGCCGCTGAAGGGATCTATTTCTGCGTCCGGCGACCTGATGCCACTTGCATTCATGGCTGGCGCTATTGAGGGCAACCCAGATATCAAGGTTTGCCAGCGACAAGGCGAATCTCTCAAGATCCTATCCGCGGAAGCAGCTCTGGAACTACATCAAATCCCAAAGATAAGGTTTGGACCAAAAGAAGCTTTGGGTCTTGTAAATGGCACGGCCTCATCGGCTGGTCTGGCTTCTATCGTCATGTACGAGGCACACCATGTGGCAACACTATCACAAGCATTCACAGCGTTGGTAGTAGAGGCAATGCTTGGAAACTCGGAGAGCTTCCATCCATTTATCAGCGAGGCACGACCCCACCCCGGTCAAATCGAGGTCAGCCGTAATATCTTAGCAATGCTGCAGGGCTCATATCTGGCAAAGGGTATTCGTAACAGCAAAGACTATGCCCCGGAAGGACTTGTCCAGGATCGATATGCGCTCAGGAGCACACCTCAATGGATTGGACCGCAACTGGAAGATCTTCTCTCTGCTAATAAACAGATCACCACTGAGTTGAATTCGTCGGCAGACAATCCTATCATCGATGCTGAAGCCCAGGAGGTCTACTACGGTGCAAACTTCCAGGCCGCAGCAGTTACTTCTGCCATGGAAAAGACACGCCTCGCGATACAAATGCTTGGAAAACTGTTCTTTGCCCAAGCAACCGAACTCATCGATGCCAATCTCAACAATGGTCTGCCCGCAAATCTTTGCGCTGACAATCCCAGCCTTTCCTTCACTATGAAGGGCGTCGACGTTAACATGGCAGCGTACATGTCCGAACTAGGCTTCCTAGCCAATCCAGTTAGCACCCACGTACAATCCGCCGAGATGGGCAACCAATCGATCAATTCACTCGCCCTTTTGTCTTCCCGCATGACCAAAAAGGCTGTGGAGCTAGTGTCCCTGATGGGCGCCACCTGTCTCTACGTCGGCTGTCAGGCATTGGATCTTCGAGTCATGCAAATCGAATACCTTGACGAACTGTACTCAATCTTGCAAAATGATCTAGGATCGTTCTTCGCCTCGAGCCTGGAACCGAAGGGAATCGAGTCATACAAGATGCAACTCCGAAAGCAGCTTACATCTTGCTGGCGAGCATCTTCCCGTCTGGATAATGCAGAGCGTTTCAATGCAGTCGCTGACGGCGCTGTCCTCTCGTTGCTGCGCGTCCTCAAGAACTCCAATCAAATGCCTTCTGAGCCATGGGCGCTAAGCTTGGTGCAAACCTGGAGATCGAATGTCGAAAGCAAAGCGACCAGCATCTACGAGGTCGCTTTCCGCCGGTTTTGTGCGAAGCAAACCACAGAACAGTATCTTGGAGTCGGGTCCCGAGCGCTCTACCGCATGGTCAGAAAAGAGCTCGCCGTACCATTTCATCAGGGTTTGGGTGAGCACCCAGGTTCAGAGGATACCGTCATATACGGCGAGAATGTGAGGCCGAGAAAGATCATCGGCAACTGGATTGCTACGATCTATGAAGCCATTCTCGACGGGAGGATGAATCATGCGTTGTACGATATTCCACGATAGTATGGCTAACTGTGTGCACGTCCCAAAAACCAATGGCGTGCACAGGTTCAAGGAGGACACAACAGAAACAACTTTGGTAGAGTGAAGATCAACAAATGCAAAGAAACGAGATACATACTGTTCAGGTCTTCAGCGCAAACTCGATTCTTCATTGAGAATATTCATTTCGACTTAGATAGTCTATCAAGTAATAGCTAGAAAAAGATTAATCTAGGGAATAAGCATCCTTGACCATTCTGTAAGCCACCGACTGCTTCTCCTCATGGAATTCAGCTGTGTTGGGGTGATGGCGTCGCTCTGCACGCCGCAAGATGCCAACGTTAACTCCTCAAGCTCGCTCTCCAGGCATGATGATGCCGTGAAGATCGCGCCGTGCATTCCCAGTGTAGCACATGGCGAATGCATCGACAGATGTATCGACTTGAAGTCATCTATGACATCTGCTGCGCTGCTACACATAATCTCAGAAGCGCGAGTGGGACAATTCTGGCAACAGGGGACGAGCTCTTCAAAACCAACTGCAGAGGTATTCCAAAGCCTTCGAAAGACTGCGCTTTGAACGCGGCAAACAACCAGCCGAAATATGTTTAGCTTAGCACAGCTCCATCGATCTTGTAATGCGGTCAAGTATTCATCCTCCTTCTCTTGTTCGTCGCCATCGATCCGAACGCTGTCTTGACGATGCCTAAGCGAATTGCATGGTGGGCGCACAGTCGTCTTTTGCCTGTACGTGAGATCCTGCAGAAGAGTATGAGCAGCCTGAAGGAAGGCTTGGTCAAGATCACCGCGGCAATACTGCCGGTACAGGACGATCGTCCTAGTCTCAAGGATTGCACGCAGATCATGGGCATGGTATAGAACGTCTCTTCCCAGTGCTTGACTGCCCAGAATAAGAAAATAAGGTGGCACTACGCTGTTGCAGAATGCGACGTCAAGCTGATTATACTTCGGTCAGCATTGCCATGACAACAAGTCTAACAGCGTACTCACAATGATGTCTCTGGCTTTTCGAAAAATCACGCGTCCAACCTTTGTCTGGGTTTGCTTCAAACCGCGGGCTTGTACGAGACTGATTGCTCCCCGGATATGAATCATCCAGCTGTGACTTGGTTCTCCTTCTGGCCAGTAGAACCGCTACTCCAAATCAGCAACGACTAAACGGCGATGTGAAGGTTGTGTAACTAACCTCGTATATATAGAGAAGCAATGTGACCACCAACACAGTATCGTCCGCAACCTGCCACCCTCCTTGTATCGCTTCGCGAACCATAGATAACGCAGATCCATAGATATTTCCAGCTTGCTTAGGATTCATTTGTGGGACGGCGGTCTGGAGATTGCAGGCAGCGACAAGACCTCGAATGAGCTCGTGGTCGGCAAAGTAACGCAGAATATCGGACCACTCTCCTACGGATCTCGGGTGGTCATTACCTGTCTTGTCGGACTTCCTTGTGCTAGATTGTCTGGGACGTTGGTCGACTGTATCCTGAGCACACACCGTCAAAGCATTGCCAAGCTGGCCGCATGCAACATCCCCGATGTTACTACCCGCTCCTCCCCGATAGCATGTCTGCGAGAGCCGGAGACACCTTCCACAAACCGGAAACCGCATATCGCAGCCTTTCTTCGCAAGCCTGGTGCCTTGTCAGTACAACGACCGGCCGTGGTATTCCTTTGCCGAGGACCAACCTGCACCCGCTACATCCAGCGCTCCGTCGCCCTGACGGAGACTCATGTTGAGCTATACGATTTGTATTATCCGGTTCCTGAGAGCCTCTTAAAGCTATGCTGGGAGTCTGATTGCCCACTTCATCCATTTTCGCTCTTTTCTTGAAAGTTGTAACACACGCTGCAATGGAAAGATAGTGCCTCCGTTTGGTACAGGAATTTTGCAGCGCAGGTCACAACAGCATGTGGCACGGGCGGACGGATACATTCGAATATTTCTATACCCTGTACCTACTAAATTAATCCCAGAAAGTTGCTAGGTTGAAATGCATTATAGGAAACCTGCTGACGGCAGAATTAGGAACGCTGTATTGACTAGTATTGGGAATACTACATAATCTGCATAGTAACTAAAAGGGATAAATCCAGGAGCTATTTGAGGTTATATCCATACACCAACTAGGGTTCAACTAGGACACGTAGGCTAAGCCTATTCCGGAATAGCGGTCATAATCCGCTGTCACACCCCTCCATGTTACGAAATCAACCTGCATGACACTAGCATAGACTAGCGACTATTATAGAAAGGTGTTCTAATTGTTATAAAATCAACCTGCATGACACTAGCATGAACTAGCAACTATTAAGAAAAGATGCTCTGATGGGACAGCACACATTATAATTAGTCATTACCATACACTACCACAAAGGCAAGATCAAGAAATATAGGATCACGTGACTAATATATAATCTAAGTGATAATCAGATTATAGAAAGATTATATATAAAGAAAGAAATAATTATTAGATATATACTAGATATACATTAAGAATATATATAGAAGTATAAAAAGAATTGTGACGATGCAATGCCAAATCTATTTGGTCGCTAAACACGAAGAGACTAAACTGGAGAGAAGAAGAAGAGGAAAGAACAATTACTAGCCTTTTTTCTCCTACTTATACTTCCTTCTATTCTAGATATCTATAGGCTATCTTTGTTGTATACTAGTATTTAATAATCTAAATTTCTAGAAGATTCTAATAATATAGAATACTAACTAGTAAAGATTATTTATCTTTCTTAATATTATATAGATTCTTTAGCAATCTATAACATAAATTAAAATATAAAATAATCTTTATAAGATATATCTAGTCCTATATCTTTCTTATATATAATGTATTTATAAGAAATAATCTATAAGTACTTTTATAATAACTATATACTACTAAGCTAAATTATATTAAGCTATTATATTATCCCTTATTTTAAATAATATTTACTTTAAATATTAAGTTAATAATAATATATTATTTTTATTATAATTAGATAAGAATTTATTTTTCTTAACTATATATAGCTAATTCTTTAAATATAATAATAATTTAGGTTTTTTTAAGTAAGAATTATAAAATATTTTTATAATATTTAATATATTCTTAAAATTTTCTGCTAAGTATTATATTATATTATTATTATAGTCTTACTATTAAATATAGTACTATAATTTCTAATAATATATTTATATATTAAGAATCTATTTGACTTTCTATTTATTATAATTATTAATCTTAACTAGTAATAGAGGGTTTTTAACTTACTCTAATAGTAATTTTATTAAGTATATTTTTTAAAGTTTATTTAGTGAGAAAATTAGATATATTTAAAAATATTTAAAAAGCTTTAACTTGAAAATATTTTCTTTTTTTATAATAATCTTAAATAGGTTTAAATTCTAATAAGAAAGCTTCTAGTTAGGTTATTTATTATTAAAATACTTAGTTATTAATATAATCTTATTTTTAATATTAAAATCTATCTTTTATTAATATTTATTTGCTTATATTTTCTGCTGTTTTTATATTTATATTATATTCTATCTTGTATAATCTTATATTTATTATAAATATTTTATCTAGGTTTAGGCTTATTTCTAATTTTATATAGGATTCTTATTATTTAATAGTAACTAATTAAATAATATTCTTAATATAAAATCTCTCTTAATCTTAAATAGTAATAGTCTAGTTAATTTTTAGGATAAAGATATTATAGTAAAGTCTACTATTAGTAATTATTTAGATTAATTATCTTAATAGAAGCTAATATAAGATTATAAATAAATTAAAAGATATTAATTTATAATTTTAATTTATTTATCTATAAATATATAATATATTATTAATAACTTTAACTTAATCTTTAGGATATAGCATATCTTTATTTAGAATTTTAATATAAATTATTCCTCTTAATTTAATATTATTAAATCTAGTAGACTAGTCTTAAAAAATATGTATTTAATCTATAATCTAGCTATCTCTCTAGCTATAATATTCTTAATATAAGGAATTAATCTTAATCTTTTACTTAATTAATCTATTACTATAAAGATTATATTGAAACTATATTTATCCTTTAGATAAAATATAAAGTCTATTAATATATATTACTATAATTGAATAAATATAAGTAATAGTTTTAGTAATCCTAATAGTAAGTTTTTACATATATTTATTCTCTTATATATAAGATAATTATTAATATATTACTTAATATCTTAATTCTATATTTTTTAATAATATTATTCTCTTAATAATTTCTTTATTTTATTTTTTATAGGGTGAGTAGTAATAGATTATTAGTATATTTTATTTAATAATTATATTTTAAGATCTTCTTTATTTAGTATATAAAATTTTTTTTTAAATATTAATTAATTATTAGTTAAATCTTAATTAGATCTAAAATCTCTAGCTATTTTATAATATTCTATAATTTTTTAACTCTTTTAATTACTCTTTAAGATTTTAGTAATAATATATAATATATTATCTATAATAACTAAGATTTCTAACTTAAATTCTATTTTTTATATATAATTTTATTCTTAAAGTTTCTTTATAATCTAAGGATTAAATCAGCTAAAGAATAATAATGAAAGATCTTTTTTCTTAAATTATTAATTATTTTTTATATATTAGATTAAAATATTAGCTCTTTTATTTAAGGATCTAGATTAATATTTAATATAAAAATTATATCTAGAAAAGATTTTTAATTATTATACTTATCTATTATTAAGCTTTTTTATTATTATAAAATATTCTAAGGCTTAGTAATTAGTAAGAATTTAAATAGATTTATTTTTAGTTAATTTTTAAAGCTTAGCTTATTATATTTTTAAGGCTTATACTATTATTAGCATTTCTTAGTTATAAATATTATATTTAGCTTGTATAAAGTTTATTATTTTAAAAAAATAGATTATTAAGTGTTACTTGTTATTAATATATTATTAGAATAATATTATTATAATAACTTCCTTT